ATAATACTACCTTCTCACACTAGATAGAACATTTGGTCTGACTTCCTTCTTCTACACACCACTTAGCATAAGTCGATTCTTCATCATGCCAAACAGATAAACAACCCCCAGACCACTCAGATTAGCTCAGTGACTTGACCTTACACTCCACCTTGAACAAAGCAACCTTCTTTAGCTGGAGAAGAAACCAACTGAAATGATGTTCCAACATCAGTTCAGGCATCAAGGACTTTATCAATTGCATTTAAACACATCAATTGATCTTCTTATTAGCATGAGAAATTCTTATGTAAGATTTATTAAGTTGATAACCTAATTTAGTTTTATTGTAGGAAGCCGTTTGATTTGATAAAATTAGATCTAGATTTTCTTTACCTTTGGTGAACTTACTTAAGGTCTCATGTAACTTTTCATCATTTTTCAAAGAATCAAAAGTTTCAAAATTACTTGATTTAAAAATTCTATAGTTATTTTAAAGATATTCAATATGATCATTCAAAGTTGAGATGTTTCTTTCTAACTTTTCATTTTTTTTACTAAGCTTAACATTAATGCAAACCTTTATTTTTAAGTTAGAGTTGTTACATGATTTTCATCTTCTTCATAAGTGGATTTAAATCATACATGTTCCTCTTAATTGTATTCTTGAGTTGTTCTTTTATAAGATATTTCATGTGAAGATTTAGATGAATTTTTGGAGGAAGGTTTGGACGAATCTTTGCATGAATATTTGCACGAATCTTTAAAGGTTTATCCAATTGATTCTCCATATGTTGTCTCAACTTCTTCATACGATGCTACCAAATTTTTGTATGTTTCCATGAGATTTTGATATACTCATTCTTCATATGTTTTTTTATGATGATTATCAAAAAGATCCTTTCTATATAGTAATTGTTCTTTAATACAATATTTATGGTGATGATCTTTCCAAAACTTCTTCTTAGGATGTATATGAGTTTCTTTCGTCATCCTTAAGCAATTGAAGTTCTATAAGATTCATGGTGATTTCCTTTTTATTTGATATTTCGGGAAGTCACCAATAAAAATTCTATCCTCTAAGTCAAGTGTTTAATCAGATTTCTGATACCAGTTCTTAAATCTTAGAAATTTGTTTAAAACAAAACTTTTGAGATTAATTCTGATATTCAAGTACCATCTTCCACTAGTACTTGGTGTATCATTTTATTGGATACATGTGTTTACCATTTCTATCTCAGTTAAAACTTCATGGATTTCCTTAAGGGTGTCCCACACTTGTTTAGTCATGCTAGAGTTAAAAACATGCTACAACTCTTTAGTGCTTAACACACTAGTTATCAAGTAATTATCTAGAAACTAAAGTTTTACTTTTCTCTTCTCTTATTTGGTCCGCAAATAATTTAGTTTGTATATGATAAGTTCCAAAAATACGTAAAATAAGTAAGCACTTATGTTTTAGAAGTAATCAATCTAAAACCTGTGATTTATCTATAAAAGTGTTAAAATAGTTGTTTGGACTTTCTACTTGCATATTTATCAAAACCAAGTGAAAGGGACTGAAAAACCACCATGAAACATACAAAGACCTTACTTATACCAAATTTCTACAAGCAAGGCTCGTCAAGCCACATTCATGGGCGCGCTAGGCAAGCACAAGCAAGAAAAGACTCAATGGCTAAGTAACCTCATGGTGAAGGAAGAGTTTGAACATTAAGTGAAGATGGGCGGTGTGCCTAATGAGTTAGGGTTTCAAGGGCTATTTGTAGGGAAATCTTGCATTTCTTGATAGATAAGAAAGTAGGCGCGCTAGGAGAGAATGATTGATGTGCCTAATGATTCTACCTTTTTCAAGACTAGGAGTAGGAGGTTCAGCTTCAGTTCTTAGAGAGTTTTCGGTGGATTCAAGGGAGTACAAAAAGATAGTAGGTTCACCTTGATCTAAACAGGAGAATAGGAGAGGGAGATTGAAGGCAGAAGCTCTACTCGTGTGATAGACTACAAATGTCTCTCAGGATTACCTGTACAACTATGATGAGTAAGCGTAGCTAGAAATCTCTATGTTGGAGGTAGTTGTATTAATTATAATCTCATGTTTCATTATGGTCATGTGTTTTATGTAATTTTACTTTAGATTTAACATTTATGATTCTTCATTCTTAATGCTTATTTTAGATTTGCTACCTAAAATATGTTTTCATGGTACGACTTAACATACAAAAGGTGTTGGTTATTACTAGATCCAAGTCTCTATCTATTGGATGTTAATGCGTAGAAAAAAGATTGTGTTTTATATCTACTTAATACTGATAATTGATATTCAATAGCTTTATATCATTGTTGGAACATAATTCTATTGTATTTAATAGTGCAAGACATCTCCTATTAGGTAATATAACTAATCTCACACCATTGAGTCAAAATTGAGATACAATGAGAGAAAAAGTGGTATTATTAATAGTTAAGTAGAAGAGCTATTGACCAATGATTATGCATGAGTATAAACAATGATGAAATATATCTGTAGTAAGTTTTATCACTATTAACACCAAAACCTCCATTTATTTTTGGTAATTTATTTTTCTATAACCAAACAACTTAAAACCCCTATTTAGAATCATAAAAACTATTGATTTTGTATTTAAGCATAACTAGTCTTTTTGGATACGATAATATTGCACTTACTAAATATATACTCACAACAATCTACTATTTTCATATTAGTAAAACAAAAGGATCATCTAAAACAAAATTCCATAGATCACAATTAATATAACAAAAAAAATATTTGTATTCTCACTTTTCATATATCAAACCTTTCATCATCAAATAGTGGAGGTGTATTTATGAAAAACACATTGTTAAAAAGAAGAGGTACTAGTAGAAGTTATCATACTACCTCTTGAGATAATTAATCTTATAACAAGAGTTATTCAATGGTGTCACATGTTAACCAAATGACTCTAAACACAAGCGGTGATGAATTATGTTGATTAAAATCAAAACTAATTTATAAAAACTTTGTTATTCAAAACAATGATTTTTATTTTATTAATCACACAAAGATAAGACAGCGGAAACAAAGAAATAAGATGCTAAGCACATAATCAGGCGAAATTTTCCATTTTCACAATGTTAGATCTAAAGGTTCCTTGGCTAGATATAACAATCACTTAGCGCTTCAACTAGAACTTGAATCTTCTAATTGATAAAACTTTAAATATCTTTTTTTATTAGATGTCATTTTCAAAAGCTTTACTTTGAAATTTAAAATTAAACTCCCACTGTCATAGAGATCTATCAACTTCCACAAGTCATTGGACTTATAGAGTTGTTCTCTTCAAAATTGTTGCTTTATCAATTGTCATCATCAAAATCTACTAACGATCCATACATGCAAGCACATAAATTTATAGAGATGTTATTTAGAATAATACTATTATATTTTTAGTATATCTTAGTAAAGATGGTTTGACTTTTTTAATATTTAGCATTTATATTTTATTATAATTCTTACTCTTTAAGTTTTGTTCATTCTATTGAAATCTTTATTAAAAGGTGTTTTTTTCTCTCTCTATATTTTTATATTATTAATTAATAATAATGATAATATGATATGAAATATATCATATTTAAATGATTAAGTTATTCTTTTGAAACACTTTTTTACAAATTATTTTTTAGTATAAAAAGTATTAAGTTATATAAATTTAAATATTTTATGAAAAACTCATTGCGACAATTTAATAAAAAAAAACAATTTAAAAATAATTATGAGTAACTAAGTAATTCTATTATATAATGTGCGATAAAAATTATAAAATATCTAAATGACAAAACTAACCTTATACCTAAAATATATTAAAACATTGAAATTAATATATATTTTTATAGGTTTTAAATTTATATATTACAAAATCAATTTTGTGAAAAAATCATACATATTGTTCAGAATTAATTATTAATATTTTTATAAATTTTAATATCTAATTATTATTTATATTATATTAAAAAATTTCTTTATTTTTAAATAATATTTTATATTATTACATCAATAATTTGTTTTCGTATTTATCTTGTTGAATTATAACTCAACTCATGTCTACATTAAAGGTAAGAGTTTTTAAAATTAATTTATTGTATCTTGATATTTCCTTATATACTAAATTGAAATAGAATATAATACAATTATTATATTTGTTTCTTATCCTTACTCTAAAATGGACTAATGCGATATTTATTTTTTTAGATAAACACTATGATATTCTTAAAATATAGTCTCGTATCTATTCGTCACTCAATCATGGAATATCATGATATTTTTATGATAATTTATTTTGAAAAAATTAATTATTTAAATTGATTTTGCTTAATGGTGGAGGGATTAGAGTCAAGATCCATTCAAAAATATTTAAATCTAAAAAAAGACAGACCTAGTTTAAGAGTACTAATAATACTCAAAAAAGTATATGAAAGTTTATTTATTTTTATTACATTTCAAGTTGTATTGTTCATATTATTGAAAATGAATTGATATAATATTCTTTTAGTCAAAATAAATATACCATTGACGTAATGTTATATTTTTTTAGGGATAGATTTACCATCCATTCAAATTTTAGTCCGTTAGAAAAAATATTTTTTGTAATTCTATATAAAAAAAACATAAATTTAGTCAAAAATATATGTATTAATGTATTGTCGGCTTTTAATTCATTGAAAGCTTACGTAAAAAGTATAAGTATTTTAAATGGTAATATATGTTTTATTATGTCATTTTTTGACTCACAATAAATTAAAATTTTGAATTTATGCGTGTCGAGAAGACATGTATATGAATTCACTCAATAAAAAAAAAAAATCTGCTAACATAATATAATTGGGTAGGAAATTTATCAATATAAAGGAAATAATTATAAGAGAATCTCATAAATTCAATGTACTGAAAACTTCAACAAAGACGAACAATTCCAAACAAAAGAAAGTAACATAAATTAAATCTAACAACAATGTGAAGTAAATCAGCCACTGGTTGAAGTTGGCATTGGATAGCGACACATTGGGCACATGTGACTCGTTTTCAGCCACTGAATAATACATTCTTGATGATACAGATGATTACAAGGCATTTTTGTGACCTCCATTCCAGCATTGAACTCAAACTGACAGACACTACAATTTTCAATGGCATTAGGGTTTTCAATCTTCACCTTCTCAAGAGATTCAATGGCTTCCTTTGATGCCGGAACAAATTGCACCTCTCCAATGGAATCAAACCTCGCAGCTAGGTTATTGATGAAAACATTCTCGCAATGACCAAATAACATTCGAACAAAAACATTCAAACCTAGAGGAAAAACACGAATTCGAGGACTTTCATAGTAAAATCCGGAAGGTGAAGTTCGTGCATCCCTTACATATGTCATTAAAAATGGCAGCATTGTGTACGTCAACTCATGGGGGATGATGACATTAGGAAAGTGAACTTGCATGTATATCGAAGCATGTTGTAGAAAATCTTGGTAAGGTACAAACATGGTTTGTTCATATAAAAACCGATCAAAAGGTAAAATTAAAGAAGGGTGTTGTTGGGGAGTGATGCATAGTTCATGTTTAACACGTACCTTAATGCGAACAAAATCCCCCACATTCCCTTGTTCAAAAGATTGATAGAATCTTACCTCATTTTCATCAAGAGGGGCGCAAATGGTTCCCAAGAAAAAGTGTAGGACATGGAATTCATCATGAATGAACACTTTGATTTGTTTGTACAAATAGAGATCCCTCTAAGAGATCTCTCTTAAAAGTATACAATGCACAACTTCGCTTCAACTCTGTATTTATATTAAAAAAATCTTTGTATTTATGTATTTTAATATTTAGATTAAAAAATTATATATTTATTATAAAAATTTTAAATTTATTAAATAAAATTTAATAGATAAAATATAATAAATAAATGCAATACTTCCTTTTTTTTTAAATGATTTCAAAAACATTGAATTCAAAAAGAATATATAATCTTATTAAAATATTTTTTCAATTGTAAGAATAATTAATAAAATTATGTTCTTTAAAGTATTTATTTATATGGATTTTTATAATGAATAAATAAATTTATGATAATTTTTTTAAAGGTAACAGATAAGGTTTGTAATCTACAATTTATCTAAAAGTAAGTAACGTTCGTAAATTTTTTTCAGTTCAATAAATAACGTTCGTAAAGTTATAAAAAGTTTGACATTTTTTATAAAGTAGTATATACATTAAGAGAGATGTAGTATTTTTTTTTTGTAAAGTGGTATATACATTAAGAGAGATGTAGTATCTTATTTAGTATTCCTGATTTAATTCGGCCTTAATTGAAGAAAATTAATTATTTAAATCAAGCTACTTAGTTTGTAAACAATAGAAATATCAAGGCAATAATAATAATAATAATAATAATAATAATAATAATAATAATAATAATAATAATAATAATAATAATAATAATAATAATAATAATAATAATAATAATAATAATAATAATAATAATAATAATAATAATAATAATAATAATAATAATAATAATAATAATAATAATAATAATAATAAGACAGTCAAAGATAGAGTTATTTAATGATAAATTACAACAAATAAGTCAATAGACTTGGTTAAACAAAAAAAGTTAAAATTTGATTTATTATTTTAATAATTTAATTTTGTATATTATACATGTAATTTTAAAAATATATATACACTTAATAATGTGTTATCACATAATGTATAGAGACACAATTACATAATCATACTCAACAAATTATTATAT